ACTGTTTCTCAGATCTTTCCTAGATAAAAGGCACGCAATTTTTTCTTGTAACTGTTCTTTACATTATATACCATTGATTACAAGTCTATATTTACATATTAATTGATACATACTTAGCTTGTTTTATGTTAAAATGTAATGGCATTGTATAAGAACTTTTTCTTTGTTCTCCCTGGTTGTTAGCCCACCATGAGGAAGGGCTATCTTAATGCTAACAGTCATTTGACCAAAGACAGATAATCATGGAACCCAGTCGTTTCATAGAGGCAGAATGCTGAGAGTGAGACACAAATCTGTGACTGTCAAGAAGCTGAACAGCAGTTTCTGGTGTACACTGTCAGTTCTAAAAGATCATAGTAAAAGGACAAAAATGCGCATTACATTTTTGCAGTGTAATGGAATTCAGATGTCAATAACAATTTTTTGAGAAGAAAGGTGGGTGGACAAGGGGTGCCTGCCAAGAAATACCTTGAGCTTTAGAGAACTTGAGAATTTACCAGATTTTACTGTTGTCTCTTTTAAGGTTGGACAACCAAAATGGTTGTCAGTTTTGAGAATTCAGGCCTGTGAATATATCTAGTGTATTAAAAATTGTGTCATTTCTTAATCATATGTAAGTATACCTGCAGCTTTGTAGGTGTAGCACTTGGAAGTATAGTCCTCCCCAGAAGTAGCAGAGCATGCCCTCTGTCGTGGTGACCTGATGGAGAGGTAGCCAAGGACAACAGCGACTGAGCTGCAAATAGTTGTTTGCACCACTGTCTCTAGTACTGTGTTCTGCTGGAGACAGAAGCTTTCCTTGTCTAGGGAGTGTCGATCTTGCAAATGATGCAAGTTTTTTCAAAGTAAAAGCTATGCATAATGAAAAGTTGTACCACAGTACCTAGTAGATACAAGTTACGAGACCACATAAGTATGCCAACAGTGGTGATGTTAGCATGACATGCCACACATCTTCAAGCAAACAGGAACATTTACTTTTTTGTGTGTTTGTCTTGGCAGGGGAAGAGGGATTTGGCAATGTGTAGCCATTTCTTTACACAGTGGATTGCTCTTAACTTGCACTGTAGAAAAAGCTGTCTTGACTTGTAAGAAACTATCGCAGGTCTGTTTGTTAGGGCCTCAGGCTTGGTCATCCTGAGTCCTGACTAATAAGTCTTGGAAGCAAATGCCTGCTGATGATGATAAAAAAAAAGAGACTACTCATATGATCTACACAACCACACTTTAAACACAGGCATACTAGTAAAATTCTACGTGATTAAAGTACACTGGGTAAGTCTCTGGCATTTCAGAGCAGAAGAGTCATCATAATTCTACAGTATGCATGAAGCACTTGAAAAATGTTCCCATTGCCTTCTTCCCACCCCACCTCAGCAAGAACTGAGAAGCTGTATGTATGCACAGAAGCATTTCAAAACACCCATTATTTAGGTATTTTGAACTGAAGAGAACATCTACGCTGTAACCTGCCATTTAAAAAAAAAACATGTACAAGTGGATTATTCATCTTAAACATGCTGGAAAAAATTGCTTAATGCTTGCTTAATTGTTTTTCTTCTGTCCATGATAAAAGCAAAGGCAGGCTGAGACTTCAAAGTTGTGCAGTTCTGTGTACTCTGACTACTAACAAATATTCTGCAACTGACTTTGATCTGGAGCCCAGGATGGGGCCCAGCTTTTCAGCCTCTTAAGTGCTATGACTCTTTAGTTGGATTCTGTACCTGAAACTGAGCAGTTGTTCAGCCTCGAGCAGTCTTGTTGCCACTCCTCTTCTGCTTCCTCTCCCATCCTGTGTCTCATCTGTTTAGTGAATAACTATTTTGGGACAGTCCTGTCTCTACTCTTCTTCATAAAAATTGTACAGATTTGTAGTTAAGCCGTTATCTATAATTTTTCATGCAAAAACAGAGAAAGGGTCCCATGGGAAGAAAGACATTTGATATACTGTGTGCATCTTGTATACATGTAAGGGAGTGAATGTTGCATTTCCTTTCTTGTCTTGCATTTCCCATTCCTGACATTTCCATGACAAAAAGATTTGTCGTCTTTTGCACTTGTTCATCCTCTATTTCTGTGTAATCTCTGAGCAGGCTTTCAACTCACATGTTCAACCACAGAACATGAATGAGGTACAGGGATTGCATGTATAGGCACTATTAATTTCTTCTTTGTTTAGCAGCAATTACTGTTAGCCAGTTTTTACCCTTCCCTTCTGAGAAAACAGTGATACTGCATGGGGTGACTCTTCCCACTGTTATCTTCTGTATGAAAGAACTGTAGAGTTCTTTCACCTCTCCACTTCTCACTCATTTTTTAAAGGAATGTCTTCTGCTCTGCTCCTGGGCATATTCAGTTACTTTGTGAAGTCTGTTATGGATCCAGGCATCTTGCTTGTTCCTTCCTTTCAAACTGTGCAATATTTGGAAACATGCAATAAAATACTTTGAAAATACTAGCTCAGAACAGAAGATTCAGTTGAATTATATATTGTTGCATCCTTGGAAAAGGGATGCAGTACTAATACTTGAGCTACAGTGACTGAAGATTTCTGAGGGATAAAGTACATTTGGAAAAGAAAGGGCAATTCTGAACACAAGAATATATTAGAAAAATAAAGGTATCACTAGGGAGACGGTAGCTCATTAGTAAGAAGAAGGGTTACTCATATCTCACCTTTTTTTATCCACTTTGGCCTCCTTGAAGAATGCTGTTAATGTAACAGCAGCATCAAAAATGTGAGCTATGGATGTGCTTAAAACAGAAGAAGCAAAAAAGGAACTCACCAGTGTAACAAAAAGTAGCCTTTTGCAGTAGTATTTTCATTATTATTTAAAACAAACAAACAAAGAAACCCCCTTGCACCTGAAACCTTTATTAGCTGCTATTTGTGCCCTGGTCTTTGAGTAGAGCTGACTTTAAACATTACAGTGAACATGAAGAAATAATGTTATGTACTTTCCCCAAGGAGGAGTGTTTTTATTCAGTGCTGGGATTCGCTTCTTCAACCTTCAGTTTCCATATACTTGAAATCATGCACTGAATACAAATAAAAGGTGTTAGAGAAGTGCCAAAACTACCTGGGAAACTAAGCCTTTCTGCTTTTCCAAAATACTTACTCAAGAAAACATAACTACGAGAAGATGGTATCACCTTTCTGCTGAAAGCTGTCTGCAACCACTCTGCACATTTCTATTTTCTGTTTGAAGCGCTAGTTACAAGCTGGAAAGAGGCATGTGAGCACAGCTGGTGCTGATGTTAAAAGGTAAGGTGCAGAAACAGCAGAAGTTGGATTTTTTCTAGTGTCGCTGCAAGGCAACAGGTGCAAGCCTCGTGGAAGAAGGCTGAAAGAGTAGTGCCTGGTGAGGGACTGCTGCTGCAGGACTTGTTCTGAAACTCAGAACTGCTGGCTAGAAACCAGGAGCTGGAAGATCTTTTTATTATCCACGTGGCTGAGGGATAGCAGCCGTGACCTTGGTCCATAGAGTTAAGGGTAGAATTTAATGTGCTTCCCCACTGCACGGTGACTTTAGGTGAGGCAAGCTGAAAATATCTATTGTGAATCCGTGTCTCCCTCTGAGGTTTCATGTGCCTGTATTACTTGACACTGTAGCTCTGATTTTCATGAGAAAAAGATTGACAAAGAAATCAAATAAAAACGTACTGTGTTTTTCTTGCGTTACAGCACTGTAACTGGTTGACTTTATTTTTTTTTGTCTTCTGTCTTCTTTCCTTTCCCCGAAAGAGCCTACTCCTTTCACGTTACCGCAGATGGTCAGATGCAGCCGGTTCCTTTCCCTCCCGATGCCCTCATCGGTCCAGGAATCCCTCGCCATGCCCGCCAGATCAACACTCCGAACCATGGGGAATTTGTGTGTGCAGTTACCATCAGCAACCCCACGAGACACGTGTACACGGGTGGGAAGGGGTGCGTCAAGGTCTGGGACATCAGCCAGCCTGGCAACAAGAGCCCTGTCTCTCAGCTGGACTGCCTGGTAGGTGAACAGGAACTTGTGCACAAGGGTAGCTTATCCTTGGAGACTCAATAAGGAAATAGCTGTCCTTGTCTGGATTTTGTTCACATTACAAGGAAATAGCAGGCAGTCCTGTTTCCTGCATTATGTATTTAACTGTCCTTTTTTTTTAACACAGAACAGGTGGAGTTACAGAGAAGAGTGCTGGTTTGTTCAGGGATAAATCATCACTGAGAGTCAAATAACAGATTAGATAAGATTTCTGAGTAGAGAGCAAATCTGACTCTTTTTTTTTCTCTCTCTCTTCCCTCCGCCCCCAGTTATGCTGATGGGTTTTGTTCATGAGTTTAATAAAAGGAAAGGAAAGTAGCCTGGCTTACGCAGGGCTGCAGAAAACCTTCCTGCGTGTTTCACTCGTACCAGGAGTGACAACCTCTCTGGTTGCAAAAGGGTAGCAACCACATAATGAAATAATGTTTCAAGGTAGCAAGGTCACTTTTAAGTCTTGCTATGCTTTTGTTAGTGATCCATAACCTACACATTTTGCTTGGTTGGTTTCACATCTGCTGATGTGAAAAGGGACTGTATGCAGTACTATAGGTAGCTGAAAAGCTAACTCTAACAGGTTAACATCTCAATAAGAGATGCATCTCATGTTTGAAGCAGCATAGACATTTGTGAAATGTTAGCTGAGAAGACTTAATGTCATGAAGTGCAATAATACATATTCTGAATGAAGATAATTCTAGCTTCAATGTTGATCCAATTAAATGTGGTGGATTTTTTGTTCTGGTTTGGTTTTTTTTAACCTTCACCCTTTATTTACTGCTACCCTTATGTTAGTTGTGTAGTAATAAGAGTATGGTTGAATATGTATTCTGTTCTGTGGCAGGTATGTGTCTGGATGCACAGTCCTAGATGCCTTGATTTTAGTTATGGAGCAGTGATGGCTGACTGACTAAGCCAACATTTCCACTGCACTACTTACTGCTCCTTTGCCGTGAATAGAAAAAAAAAAAGTAGTAGTAATAGGAAAGCTGTTGACTACTTCTTTCGGTGTGTTTTGGTATGTTTTGAGTTATGTATTTAAACCCTTCATTTCCTAAAGAACTGTTAACATGTTTATTTGTCAGCTATTATGTAGCAATGGGCATCCAGTACACTTAAGGAATCAAGCCTGTAATAAGTGAAGGTTGAAATGTTTCCCTCCTCTAGATCCCCTGTAGTGCCTCTCAGTCAGCAGTAGTATCACAAATTTGAAACTAATAATACAAGTACAATAAGAATCGTGTTGAAAAACAAAGGACCAACATAAATCCAGGACAAGTATGGGAATGCTTAATATTTTAACTTTAAAACAATGAATGCAAACTAGTATTTGAAAAAAACCTCCAAAACTTGAAAGACATGAGACTTGAACTGCATTTTCATACAGGGTTGCCTAAATGCCAAATGAAATGTCATTTGCTTTAATATTTCTATTGCTGGTGACCTCAGATGATGGAGTGCACTTGCAGAAATGCAAGCTTAGTTTGGCCTGGTTTTGTGTAATGAGACTTGCCATTCATCGGGTTTAAAACAGAGTAGACTGGCAACAGGAGTTTGCAGTTTAATTTCTGAAGCTGCAGTCTCTGGTTAGTGATGAGAAGTAGGCGTTTAAAACCTTTTAGGATCTGCTGGTTCCTCTTCAGTACTTTGGTAATGGAAAAAATAGCGTAAAACTTGGATGCAGTCAGAATTGTCTTAGTGGTCATTATTGGCAGGCATGTATTAACATAACTGAGGTGATTTGTGTTGTACAGAACAGAGATAACTACATCCGCTCTTGTAAATTGCTGCCTGATGGATGCACCCTAATAGTTGGCGGGGAAGCCAGCACATTATCCATATGGGACCTGGCAGCACCAACTCCTCGTATAAAAGCAGAGCTGACATCCTCAGCCCCTGCCTGCTACGCTCTGGCTATCAGCCCTGATTCCAAGGTGTGCTTTTCCTGCTGCAGTGATGGGAACATTGCAGTGTGGGATCTGCACAATCAGACGCTGGTCAGGTGAGTCATTATTTGTTTACAGCAAAGTTTAATAGAAGTTACTCTTTGGACAGCTACATAAATATTTATCTCCCTAAAGAGTGGTTCATTACAGCAAAGTAAATAGTATTTCTTATCTAAAGAGTGCAGTTTGCACCAGAGTTAGGCAGAAACTAGTTTTGGTAACTTCAGCCTAGTCTTGGAAGATGCACTTTCAGGGCCTAAAGAGTTGGTCGGTACCTAGTGCAGTCTGTTGTAACAGTTCCTGTGGGTTTCAGTTAGTTGGGATTTGTCTGCAGGTTTCTACAAGCAGCATTTCTGCTTGTTTGTGATTGATGTAGACTGAACATACCTTTTAGGGAACTCTTTGAGGTTTGTTCTTTTCCTTTGTCTTAAGCCTTGTTAAGTAATAAAGAGAATTTTCAGCTCTTATGTAGTGATGATAAGTAGTAAAATTAATCTTACAAAAGAGGTTGAAAGTGTGGATCCCCTCAGTTCTTTAAGAAAGCATAAAGGACTGATGTTTGGTCATTCATGAGAGAAAGGTATTTGAGGTTTTGGGGGGAATTTGATCTCTAAAATTTTCAGAATGGGTTGCAAAGAGTATAGTGAATGGATTGCCATGTAAATTACTTTTGATATCTTTTGTTACACCTTTGATTAATGAATATATTAGTAGAAGATTAAAGTGTCTGGCAGGTCAATACTCGGCATTAGCACTATGACAGTGAAAGAAAGATAGGGCCATGTGTGAAATGGCTCTTAGCGGCTAGCTATGTGGTTTACTAGAAGATAAGTTTTGGTTTATGCTTACCAAAGTAGTGGTGGCTTACAATATTATGACAAGAGAGAGCCTAAATTGGGAAAGGTGATATTTTAGAAGTTTTGAACACAGACACTGAAGCGTCTGCTTAGTCTGCTGGGTTTCAATAAAATTTCTGTATATGAATAATTAGCCTAAACTTATGTGCAGAGAGTCATATTAATGTGAATGCAAATTTTACTTTCTGTTGGACTTACAGGTCAACGAAGATTTTAAACCTTCAATTTGCCCTATGCGTGCTTAGTCTCTGTAAAGGTGCACTCTCTCCATCTCTGACTGTCTTGCCTTTCAAATGTTTGCTATAGGTGTTCCCACCACTTGCTGGCTGATACTGCTAATTGATAATGCGTGGAATTTTGAGACCAGAGCTACAAAACAAAATGTGCTGCATGACCTTTCTGTGGCAGCTCTTAGAATTGAGATGACCTTCTGGTTGCTGAAAGCTGAGAATTACTGATGGGAAGATTTTAAAACAAACTGCACCATTTAGATTTTTGTGATCTCCTGCCACAGAGAATGCAACTTTGCTGACTCGGCAGTGCTTGCGTTTCTGGATCTCTATCTGGATCCCTTCCTGTTAATATCTCTGCTTATTATTTATCATCTTGACTTTCAGCCAAAGAAAAATACAGAAGTTGTTTCCTGAAACTGGAGGAGTTTTGTTCCCTTGGCACTTGTTTTAGTCTGAGTTGTCCTTAGTGCTTTTAACTATAGTTACTGCACTTCAATGTTCTCACAAGCTTTTTCTTTTCTTTTTTTTTTTTTCTTTTCAAAACCTAATAGGAAATATTTGACTTTGTTCAGCTAGCCGTGATGCAATTTCATTTCTCTAGCACCTGGAAAATGTTTTTGTAATACTGTTGTATTTCATGCTCAGTAAGAGGGAGGGGCTGATTTTTGCCCATCAGCAGACACAGAAGAGATGACACACACATACTGAGTCCAAAACTAACACCACAACAGTGTTTACCTTGAGCTCTGGCAGGAAATCATTATTCAATCTGGTTTGTTTTATCAGGCAATTCCAGGGCCACACAGACGGAGCCAGCTGTATTGACATTTCTAATGATGGTACCAAGCTCTGGACAGGAGGTTTGGATAACACTGTCAGATCCTGGGACTTGAGAGAGGGGAGACAGCTACAACAGCATGACTTCACATCACAGGTAACTGGATTTTCCTACAGCTTCAGGAGGGGGTGGTGGGAGTGAAACATTTAAGATGAAAGCTGAGATTGAGGCCAGCGCAACTGGGAGATTGTTCCCTCTCTTCCTTTTGGCTGCTAACAATGCAGTATTTTAGAGTTTTCATGTGTTTAGCTTCCACTACTCTCTTTTCCTATTTTTCTAAGTTAATAGGTAAGAACAAGGGTTATTTAGTCACTCAAATTTTGAACAAGCAGTCTTGCTGTTTAACTACATGAATTTTACTTAACCTTCTCTCTCTCCCTCTCCCAATTAATTTAACACTGTAAAAAAAAAAGTGTATCTGTAGAAAAAATAAAAAGCCTAAATGTGGTTTAATTTTCAGATATTTTCCCTTGGTTATTGTCCTACTGGTGAATGGCTAGCTGTGGGAATGGAGAGCAGCAACGTAGAAGTGCTACATGTAAATAAACCAGACAAATATCAACTGCACCTTCACGAGAGTTGTGTATTGTCACTCAAGTTTGCTTACTGTGGTAAGTTGCCCTGAACACAGAACTGGAGGTCAGGGCTCTAATTCATGCTTTGCTGATTAGTTATTACACAGTCATAGCTCATTTGGTAATCAAAACCTACTTAGTATCTCAGTTTCTTAAGTTATGCATAAGTATCTCTGCTTTATGAATTCAAACATACTTACCTACAAACAACCATCCATTTGTCTAAAGGCTGCTGTAAGGGTTGATTTGTCTGTAAAAAGCTACTTCTACTTACAGAGTCTGAGGATTTCCTAGTGTGTAACACTGTAAAAGCACGAGTGTCCACATTGATAGTAAGCAAAAGTGCTGTGTTGATTTGTGGTGAGAGCTTTTATAATGGTAATTAGTTAACAGATTTCATAGATGTGAGTTGAAAACAGAAAATCTGACAGATATCTGTTTCATATGTTTTCATAGCCCTTCTGGTTTATATTCTAGGTAAATGGTTTGTGAGTACTGGGAAAGATAATCTTCTTAATGCATGGAGAACTCCTTACGGAGCCAGTATCTTCCAGGTGAGGATGATGATGTTTTTAAAGATAAAAACTAGAACAGCGGAGTCCCAAGAGTGGACTCAGATATCTTCACCTATGTGATCTACCTGGAATGGGATGCTGAGATGAGGGTAACAGATTTTTTTTTTTTTCATGATGTAATATATTTCTATTTTTCTTCTAGTCCAAAGAATCTTCATCAGTGCTTAGCTGTGACATCTCTGTGGATGATAAGTACATAGTCACTGGCTCTGGAGACAAAAAGGCTACAGTCTATGAAGTTATCTACTGAAAAATATGATGGGGATATAACTTTTAGAAGTTGAACTGGGCCAAAATTGTTCTTAATTGTAGAAGTAGAAAGGTTTTTGCCTTTTAAAAAGGAACAAAAGTATTGAGGTTCCAGACCTTGCTATGAAACTACTCCGATTTTTCAAAATAGAAGGCAACATCCAGCAACTAAATATTGGCTGCGTGGACCAAACGGAACACAGAGGCAAGATGGACAGATGTAGCCTAGGTTTTTGATGTAGTTTTTAAAAGCCGAGTCTACTGAAGAATGTTGGAGCCTTTTGTTTTTTTCTTATTTGTGACCTCATGCAAATTGTTCTCTTTGCCTGAATATGGGGGATAAATACCTTTCTGTTCCTTGCAGTTCAAGTTGCATTCTGTCCTGTGTAGAGCAGTGATGTCTCAGATGAACTTGTTTCCTGGTTTTGCATCTTGTGATATGTTTTTGTATTTTTGTTGAAGGTCAAACATTTGTATAAATTGTAAATATATTTAGTTTATTACAGTAAAGGCTTTAGTACCAACAACCAGTCTTCCCCCCCTGCCCCCTCCCTGCCCACCCTGCTTATTTAAAATTAAAAAACTTTTGGGGATATAAGTACCTTTTTAGAAGCAAAAGCAAACACTATGTATAGTTTGAAAATGGTGTCTTATTCTTTATAACTCTTCCTAGATTCTTTTATCATACTTCAAAGTAGTTGTTTTGACATATTAGGGTATCAAGTCCAGTAGATACTGTCTTGTGCTACAGAAAACTTAAAAGGCAATTTTGTACTAATTATAGTGTAAATATAAAAATTGAACATTTCATAAAGTTGTGCAGTTTATTTTAAGTTTATTCTGATGTCCCATGCATATGTTCTTTGGCAGATACAGTACTATGTGCCTGATCATATCTCATTTGGTCATTTCTCTGGAAGAGGTGAATTCCCTCTCCTTTCTCCCCCAGCTGAACAGAATTCATGCAAGACTACATTTCAACTAAGTACATCAGAGCCTTTATTCATTAACTGAGGATGTCTGTGATTAAACAAAGCTAGATAAGTCACATCCTTCGTATTTTAGAGAGAAGTGGTAGTTAATGACCATTTCCTTTTTAATGTCTAGTCTATACTTAGATACTCAGGTAAATTTAATTAAATTACCAAAAGTGTGAGCTTTACAGGGGATCGCTTAAACAATGTTAAATACTTGCAGGACTGAAAGTGAAGTGAATTAACCTAAACTAAGTTAAACCCGCTTCTTAATTTCTTGTGAGAATATTGACAAAGGAATATTTTGATTTTTAACTAATCCACTGTACAAATTAATTAGAATTAATTTTCCTGAGTGTCCCATGTTACGCAGGTCTATAGGCTCTATGTATTCATACTGAGCAGTCTTTGAGTCCTTTCCACTGTCACATCAGTGTGTGACATCTGTGAAGAGCCATGCTAAGCAGCCAGTTACCAAAGCTACGCATCTTTAAATCAAGTTTTCTTCATGTACTCAAGAGAAATGGATGAGGAGAGAATGTGTACATTTTATTCTAACTATGTTTTTTCAGATTGAGTTCTACCACCGTGTGCTAAACAAACCTAGCACCAGTGAGGGCCATACATTTCCTACCTTCTGTAATTTAATTGGAATTTCAGTTGCTAATGGAGAGTACAGATGAACAAAAGGATATCTTTGAATAAATAATTCAGATTACACAAACTGGCAGACAGGGTAAGACTCATCTGTGAAGAGGTGCTTTCTCATTTTGCTAGCATTTGACAATGACCTATATCCCTGCTCTTTCAAAGACATATAACTAGGAAGAAACAAGTTTGACTGACAGATGCATTGACTGGATAGGGAATTTCTCATCTGGGGACAAATTTTCTGTCAATTTCCAGTCTGAAGAGACATCCGTTTTCTTTCCAATTTACATGTCCATTCTACTGAAACCATTTTATAGCATCTAGGATTGTAATAGCCTTAATACACTAACTTTGCATTTGGAATGTAAAATTTTAAGCATTCAGGATAATCTGGTTTCCTAGACATTTAAAATTAGTGTTCTATCCCTATGTATCTATACCTTTGTCTATTGCTGTGTTGTGAATATCTATCTGTATGAAAATGACAGACAGCTTAGCTGGTGGTGATGTTCCTTTCACACATAGGGAGGCAAAAAGCAGAATCATCAGGCTTTTCAAAGAAATAATTATATTTGCTTCATTGAAATACTGTGAAGTTCTAGGCCATTTTAAAAAGGGAAACTTAAAAAAAAGAAGAGTATATTCTAGGTTACTTGATTTTTACGCTGATCCTGTTTTCATATTGAAGTTTTCCCCAATGTTGACTCTGCCAATGATCATTGTCTTTGTTTAGCAGCACTAGCAAATTCACTGTAGTTAGGAAGGTTCATATTTCTTCCAAACTAATATCGCATTGGCTTTCACTTTATAGGTGTTCTTTGGCCTTTCTTAAAAACTGATATCAGAGGAATCAAGAATGCAAGTATTCTAACACATGCATGTAACTTTAAAAAAAATATGCACAAGTGTATTATAATAGATCCACTCTAAATTGCAACGTACTGGTTGTTAGTAAGACCACATTCTTGGCAATCAGGAGGTTCAAAATCATAGTGTCAGAAAAATCATGAAATACCTTATCTTTTCTTGTTAGCTTCTAGAATACACAGTGAGTCAGAGCAGTTACGGAATTGGACATTATTTATGCATGTGAATGAATTTAATCAATGTACCATATGTTTCTTGGTAGTAATTAAGAAATTACTTCTTTTTTTCCCCAATCAGACCTGCTTGTTAAGCCTTGGGTCTGAAAACTTGGGGATGCATCATACAATAGTCCTTTCAATTTTTTTTTGTTTCAGGTTTCACTGACAGTTTATGAACCTTTTTTTTTCATTTGTCCAACAGTAAAGCCTATTCCACCAGCAGATGTAATTTTTAATGAAAAGATATATTTGGTGAATGTCTGTCTATGCTATTACCTACAAGATTTAGGACTTGCAGAGCTTAAAACTTTCTGTTAGTTCTGGGTAAAATAGTGGGTGGAAATAACTGTGTGTTGAATGAAGAAACAGACCAACTCAGACCAGCAGTAACAGAAAAGGCACTGGCAAAAGCACATGGAAAAAAGAGGTACAGCAGTAACTATGGTGTAGGTAATTAATATTTTTTTTTGTCAATTTAATTACAATCATAAAAGATTCCTTTGATTAGCCCCTTTCTGGGACAGCCTTTGTTTACTGGGTGGCCCTCAGTATTCAGAGATGTCTGAATGCCACTCTGGCAAACACTAGTGCCAGATAGAACCAGGGAGTCCTTACAAATGACATATTGGATGTCAGTGCAAACAATAACTGATGAAGAGGAGATTTCTGGTAATATCAATTCAACGGAACAAAATCCGTTGCCAGCTCTAATATGTATATTTTGTATATGTGTACTAGGCATAACCTTTTATAAATCAATTGTGCAGAAAATCATGAAATTATTCCACACAATGCATTTGTCAATGTGTCAGAATACCTCTTTTTGATTATAGTTCCAAGCAAAGCTAGTTCCCCACATCAACCCACAAGCTGCTGGTCCTCGAGAGAGAATTTTCATCTGCATTAATTCTTTTAAACTCATTTGACATTTCAAAAGCTTTTGTTCCTTGAAAAGGAAGAGGGAGCACCAAGTGAATAGGAAGTTCACTCAGTGTTAAAATAATAGTGTTATTTTTTAATGTAAACATCAAAGCAAAATCTGTCATCTGGTCACATGCATACTTTTGTATATAAATGGTTGACCATAATTTTTCTGTCACATCTTTGCATTGGTGATGCAGGTAGAAGTGTCTAAGTTACTTAAGTAACTTAAATCCAGATTGACAAATTTAGGTTTTGTGGTTTTGGTTTTTTGTTGTTTGGTTTTTTTTGTGTGTGTGTGTGGAAAGACTGCCCCACTTATGAGCCTGTGGGATTATGTAATCTAGTTAGAGTAGTCTGTCATATTTTCTATTATATCGGTGCAATTTTGAGTTGATGGGGAGCTTCCACCATTCTAGTGATTAAGAAAGGTGGACCTTAATGTTTTCAGGCTATGGAAGAGTACTGAATTCAGATTTCGCACTACTGATAAAGTGTTTACCCCTTAAGCCACTTCAGTGGAGAAGCTGGACTGGATCCAACTGTGCTGTCTCTTTGAAGGATTTTTTTTTTTTTTTTCCTACCACAAGTGCATAGGAAGATTGTGAGAATGTAGGTCTTCAAGACCTGTCATAGTGTCCTGCCAGAGAGGTCTTTTATTACGGAATGGGAAGGACGAAGCAGCTCAGAGTAGGACCCGATCAACCCCAGAATGAAGGAAAGAGTACATGGTAGAGAATACACAGAGGAATGAGGGAGAATGGGAATGTACACACACATACATTTTAGTGGTAGCTTAATATATAAACTACAAAATTAATCTAGAATGAGATTCCAGTATGCGATTTCACTGACTTCTGTTTCTCCATTAACATGTTGAGATGTTTCTGCATAGTAATTCAAGGACACCTGAGCTGTGTATTGGAACTGGAAGTGGGCATTTCTTTGACATCCACAAGCAGTCATCTAATCCTAAGAGGAAAGAGAGTTAAACTGTGCATAAATTGAATACAATAAGAAAACACAAAGGGAAATGAGAATGAATTAATAATTGTTTTCAGAGGGCAGAATGTTCTTAGAAATGCTATATCTCAAAACAAAAGAACCTATTGTTTCTATGATATATTAATTCTTGAGAACGCTGGATTTGTGTTTCCTTGGAGCTAAAGTGCTGTTCTCAGAAAACGGAATACCAAAAAACTGGTGGTGTGGCAACCAATGTTAGTTACAATTTTCAAATCTGAGCAGAGTTCTGTTTGGGTTCATTCTGAGCAACAGGCTGTGCCTTTTTTGGCTCATGCATTAATAAGGCTTTGTTGCTAACAAGTCTGTTGGTGATATGTAAACTAAAGGAAAATCTGATTGAAACTTTTAGGGGATAGCAGCATAGATAGTATCAGCCAGCATATGTTGTAATAATTTCCCTTACTAAAACAAGTACCCAGAGATAAGATAACATCATTGTTCCGTACTCATACTTTCATTGTTTGTGGAATTTCTGGTCTGCGTAGCTGACTTGCCATAGAAAAATTCTGTGGTGGCTTCTGAGGTAAAAAAATTTTGAGACCTGTCCTCTCCTAAGATTTAACATGTGATTTTGCCCACAGTAAGGTTATGTTGATTCATAGAAGAGATGCTGCAAGGAGCACTATGCAGTTGCTATTGTGTAGAGCTTGGCCAGGATTGCCTTTGCTATGTTCA